AATAACTTTTCTTTTATTTATCGAACTTTATTCTACCAAATAGCAGCATGCAAAAAAATTGAATATTAATGAAATTTGAATTTGAAGTATATCCAGTTGCGTATACTTTATAAATCATTAACGCAAGATTTATTCGCGATCGAATAAAATACCGTAAGTTCAAATACAATTTGAAACGTTTCACAATCATAACAAAATCATATAAATACAAAATTTGATTTATCGATAAATTTAAAGTCTTTTTCATTCGTTACCTAATTCATAACTCTAAAGTTTTCATATTGTATTTACGAGTAAAAACAGTTAACTTCTGTAGAATAAATAATTTACTGACAATTCATTATACATAACTTTTATACTCAGTTTGTAATAACACTTTTATCACACATACTTATTACCTGAATAATGACTCAGTGTATCATACCTTTATATTTCCATTTAATGATTAGCTAACATAAGAGCAGGGAATGGCAATGTCAAGTATTGGCGTATGGCTAGAAATGTATTAGAGTTTATCAAAGTTTTAATGTTGCTTCTTGGACGATTAGACGTAAAAGTCACGACGATCAATCCGACATGACACAGACGCCTTATTACAATAGTCGATATGGAATCCGAATGACAGATGCGGCCGAGATAATGAATTTTAATAATTTATAATTAAAGGCAATTTCATTAATAGATAATTTAGTAGTCGAGCACGGCAAATGGGAACAGCATGTACCTACATCTGTAAGATTTTATTGAAAATGTCTTGTAGTAAAATTCACTGCATACGGCATGGAATTACGAATAAAAAATTACAATTGCTGTACAAGGTGCGTTTTTTATTTATTCAATTAATTTGAACAAAGTTTTACTTTTTAAGTACGTAGCAATTATACTAGTAGTTTATTAATATAAACTAATCAATATCACTCCACATGTGTACTGTAAATATTATAAGATTATATTTTACTGTTTAATAATTTATAAACATTTGAGATCATTGTAATTTCAACATTAGTATTTACATATTATTTAATAATAATGATGGATACGCATTATTTAATGAAAGAAATAATACGTATATCATACTGTGAAAAGAATTAATAGTATTTAAATTATTTTTCTATGAATTGTAAAATAAATTCATTGATACTTTGAAGGTGAAATTTATTTTGATTTATGCAACAATCTAATTAAATGTCTTCACAAGGGTTTTGATCAAATATTTAATTTAAGCAATATATCACTTAATAAAAAAGAACAGAACAAAGGTTATCATTGGGAAGAATTTTCAAATTATGAAGTGTACAATGCATTTTATCGCAAAACATTAAAATTCTAATAAAACCATTAACGCGGCCAAGTGTCATTTAATAATTCTCGTAATAACCTTCCACGTATATGTGTTACATGCCTACCATAGCTCCTTCGGCTCTTTCAACCCTCTATCTATTTTTTTTTTTATCCCAATCCTACCCTCTTTTACGAGTAGTTAATATAGATAGCTTCTTGAGTGTTTTTCTCTTTACGATGCGTCGCTGCGATCGGATTCTAAGGGCGTATTAACAATCCCTGAGGTGATGATTAACCAGAAGCCGAGCCAAAGCTATCTCTATACCCCTCTTTCTCTTTTAAGAGAATTTATGCTATTTTATCAGCGGCTTTTCAAGCTGATTTATTCTAGTGAGTTTGTTTTTTTGCCCACTCGAGCCACCCCATAATATGTGCGATATTGCAATTACGTTATGAGTGTAGTGGAGAAAACCTTTTTCTTACAAAAAAAAAAAAAAAAAATAAATAACGTATACATTTTATCGACCTTATTAAAGTATTTATTAAGCTCTGTACGGTGAATATTTGATCAAACTAAGGAGTGAGCAATCGATGCAGAATTATGTATTTCACATGTAAGCAATTACTCGAATGGCATACAAATACTACAAATTTATATTTACACAATGATTGGCGATTTTATTATTGTGTTTTGTGAATTTTCGGAAAATCTAGTTTTTAACGGCCGGTATATATACTCAATGATATTCGATTTACGAGATGCAACTAATATAAAAATATAAAACATAAGGAATGTCAAAATGAATGTATGATGTGAAATACATGAATACGACTATTGCTTAAATTAAAGTTGTAATATTTCGATAAAACAGTCAAATTAAAATATAACATAAGCATACAAAAAATACTTGCATTCAATATTTTTATATAATTACGTTTTTAATGCAGCATGTAATTAAATGAGTAATTGAAATTTGTAAAAGTTGATACTTCAAAAAAAAAAAATTATCCTGACCTATATTAGATACGCACTTTAATAAAATGTGTAAAAATATTATCGAACTCACTGATAAATCATTAAAGGACGATAAAATTATCCATTGAATTTAACGTCCGATATTAACCAGCACAAACCGAATTTTTAAATCACTTATAAAAATCTCAATTTTAAGGGTGATACAAACGATCCTTTTTCAATTTCTATGTAAAAAACCAAGTCCTTGGCACTTTCGTAGCGTATACATCAGGTTCAGCCTATAACAATCTCAATAACTGCTGTAGAGGACAACACGGATTTAAAATGCTTACACATCTTTATATCAACTGCTATATGCATTCCAAAAAATTCTGAAATAATAACAATTATCTTTCATTAAAATGCACGTTAATTTTAAAACTGCAAAAAGAAATCATAACTTGAGTAAGTAATAATTTTAATTTAATGAGTTTGAGCTTGCTACGCAAAAAGGCAAAGTTATATCACAAATAGGAAGACGAGCAGAAGCTTTGTGATATTTATGCCACCACCATACTATAAAACAACGATGGGATGGTAATTGAATTTCTGGATTAGAGCAAGAATTAAGGTTTGTGCGAACTTCCCGACATTGTTCTTAGAGCGCCAGAGTAATAATTTAATAAATTAGACAGAAAGTATGTATTTGATAAATTAATTTTAATTTATTTAATCTATTATAAAGATATAATAAAACAGGCTATCTTTAAAATTGGAATTTCTTATCTAACGAAAATTTATCATTTTATCAATAAAGTGTTAAATGCATACACATCTATAAGCTTAAGCGTTTTTTTTTTCTTAATAAACAATTATCTTATTCCCTTCAGTTACGTTAATAATGTATATACCTTATAAAACAAGTACATTTTAATAATTGAAAAGGCACGTATCATAAAATTTATCTTAACAGAGAAGAAAAAATAGTAAAATTACTTATTATACAAAAATATATGGTTAACTAAACGAATTATATTTATTAAGAAATTTGTAAACTTTGAATATTTCTGTACTCTCGTTTTATGAAATAATTTAAAAATAGCCAGGACAAAATTTACACTATTGTCCTGTGCCTTAACAATGTAAGCCAAAAGCAATGTGTATGAAGAGTTATTTTGATACAGAAAATTCCAAGAGTATAACCAAGCAATATAACTCGAGAGATGTTTTGTGTAAAGCGAGTAACATGGTATGCTGAATTCTCCTAGAAATCGTTTTTATGGATATCGCGAAAACAAAAAAGGCCATTATTTCTTTTAGAAAATAAAGTCGTACTCGCGAAAATTGTAAATTCTGCGATTAGAAAAGATTTTTTTATCTTAATTCCCTTTGTTTTTTTTTTTTTTTTTTTTTTTTTTTTTTTTTTTTATAGCAAACCAATAATAATTTATGAATCTATGTTTGCAAATCCTATAAATGAACTTATTATTAATTAAAAAATTAATCCAAAAATACTGTATAATCTTATTAGTAGAATATAATAATAATAATTATTGTTAGTTATTTAGGTAAATTTCTTTGCTCTCCATTAACAGTAGGAGATTATTATATTATGTGTATATTAATAGTAATACACATAAATATCAGCATAGTGAAATATATTCAACCGTAATACACAAACTTTGTGCGGATTATTGTGTGAATGAATATAATGCATTTTGCTAAATTTATAAATTATTATTAGAAAATTCACCACATAACTTCAGCATTGTTACGTACTTAATAATTATCAATTATAAGCAAAGTAATGATTGTTTTTTTTTTTTTTTCATAAAACTAGTTTCTATTACAATAGAAAATCAAAAGAAAATTCTTATCAGTATGGAAGCATGAAATTATTTTATAGTAGTCGAATTAAAAATACTTTATTTACAAATGAAGTGCTTATAACTTTTTTATTTTATTTATTCTTTTATATTCTAATGAATAATATTATTTATTATAAAAGATTATATTTTAAAATAAGCCAAATATTCCACGCATAGATTATGAATAATTAAAAAACTCTTTATTTTGGCTCCTTGTATATATATATATATATATATACATAATTGAAAACTTTATAATAAAGTATTTAACTTCTGCTTTTTTATTATAAAAATACTTTTATTTTTAAAAAGTTTTTAAATTTTAAGACTGAAATTTCAACTAAAATATATTCAATAATGTGACACAAGTATAATTAGAAATTCTTCTTTAAATCCCATTGTGTTAATGAATTTTTATTAATATACAGGAACTTTTTTAAAATTAAACATTATAAATTTGCAAATATCAGCATTAGAATTTCAATTAAAAAGTAAATAAAAATATATAAATTATGAAGTTTATATAGTATAATTTTAAACATTGAATTTTTATATAATTTAGTATTTATGTAGATGCCTATTTTCACATCAAGATTTATGTGAAAATAACTAGTTAAAAAAAAAAAAAAAAAAACCAACAATCAAAGCAAAATTAACTTATAGAAGCTCATTTTAAATTGATGAAAATTTTACAAAACATCAGACACTTCATAAGCGAAGGGTAAAACCATCTCAAAGTTTCTAAACCTTAAACACGAAGAAAAAAATTAAGATATTACGACATTACGAGGTCATAATGTCATTTATAATACGTCATTAACCGAGATTCCTGGTGCGGCCTTTTATGAAATATCGTAACGTAAAATGTCGAGAATATAGACGTCAGAGATACTCACCCCGTCCGGATGATATTTGGGAATACTTCCCGGTGTCGTGGACGCACAGAATTCCAGGAGCACATCCTGCAGCTTTCTCGAGGAGTCTGTAGAAGAGGAGAAACAATGTAATTTATTTTTATTAGTTTTCATTTTCGGACGAAAACCGAGAAAGTCACCAGGGATAAGCCCAGAGGATTTGACTAATGGGGTCACGCATATTTTAGGATTAATAACGAAATCGTTTCTTACTTAGGAACTCAGAAGTCATAATTTGATTGAAAATTTTTCCTGAATATTATGAAGATAGAATTTACGAGAGACGAAACATAATTTATACTTACACTTCAATTGAGGTAGATTGGAAATTTTCGGTACTCCAATAATTGTATCGCTATATTGTATTTGTTTTGAAAAAAAAATGTAACTATTTCTGTCTATAAATTAAAAACAAAAACAAAAATGAAATTGTACTTCAATAATGTTATAAAAAAATTCTATAAAGTTTACAATAAGTTTTAAAAGGAGAAAGCAAGAATATGTAATAATTTTCATGCGTAAGTGTAAAGACAAATTTTACCTTCATTTATAACAGATATTAAAAGAAAAAAAATTTACAACTTTTTCTCTAATTAATACTTAAATATAATAATCAGCTGTAAATTAAAATGACTTTTATGAATAACTTAAATTATGAACAATGCATATAATAAAATTTAATTAAATAATGTTATTTCTGGGATGCCATTTGATTTCATTATGATTAACTTTGTAAAATGCGAGCTACTATTTTTTATTTTCCAAGAACTTAAAATTTCGATGAAAGAACTAAAAATATATAAATTCCATATAGGCGAGCATCTATAATTTTTATAATAGATTATGTAGTATAGAATAATCTATAATTTTTATCTATAATTACTTAAACATATAGAAAACAGTATAATATTTAAATTTTATCAATACGAATAATTAAGAGCAACTATATATAAAATCAATTTCAATTTGTAATAGTTACAATGAGCTAATTACTGAGTTTTTACTTTATATGTTAATGAAATTAGATTATATATAAATATAAACAGAAATATGATATTACACTAAATTAATTAAAATCTGTTTAGAGAAAATTTTACATTCAAATGACTTTGTGCAATTCATTACTAATCTATTATTTATTATTTTATAATTTTTATTATAATATATATTAATTTTACTAACATATTAATTTGTTGGGGTATCAATTATAATTCTTTTTTTTTTCTAATTTTTTTATTTAAATTATAAAATGTTTTATACAATATTATTTTTATTCAACGAAATAACTAAAAAAATTTATGACCAAATAGCTCAAATATGTAATTCAGACCTTCACCCAGGCAATTAATTTTTTTATAAAATGTTTTAAAATATTTTGTGGCAGCTATCATCCATCTGTATAATAATTGTTAGAGGAATTTTTTTGGTGATATGTTGCCTGACAATAAACTCTATTAAAAAGCAGAACTGCTATCGACCGCATACAAGTTTGATAGAATTGGACAAATAACAAGAATCTGCATTAATTCGATAAAATCCTAGTATTTCCAACTTCATATTGTCACTGTAAATTTAATTGAAATTACAAAATCTTAATGTAACTTGTTTGCTCTAAGTGGAATCATATAATTCTTGCAAGTGTAGTAGAATAAAGAAAGCGAAATGGATTATGTTGATTTACGATCAGAATTTTACAATTAAATTTAAAAAACAATTAAAATTTTATTACAATTGAAAAAAACAATCAATCTAATAGAATAAATGTTATTGTTAATAAAAAAATTGAAATATAATCTTTATGTATAAAAGTAAAAGAATCCAATTTTGGAATTTAATTACAATTTTAGTATCATGTATGTTAACGTTTCATTGCTACAATTTAAAAAAATAATTATTGGGAATTATGGTGATGCGAAAAAAATTCATTCATTTACAGTTACTTGTACATACATATAATTTTAATTATTTTTTTATTTCTAAAAATTGACTTGCTTCCTTTTTTCAAATAGTTTAGAATTATTTATATCCCGTACTTTAATTATTCATATTTAACATAAATGATTCATGAATAATATTATTCATAGACAAGGCTCTATCATAATAATAAATAAATAGTTAACTAACTTATCATTAAGCAATTCACCATAAAAATTTTCACGAACAAAGACAAAAGATTATTATAAATATAATTACTCACGATGAAAGTACAATTATAAATGGCTGTTGACTAATTATGAATATTTTTAATTTGTAGATTATATTATCGATTTTGGCTTTAAGCTCCGAGTAAAAAGTGAAGAAGCTTATTGGACATTACAAAGACGATGAATAGAAGGTTTAGTGGTTAGCGATTATTTTCCAAGAAAACAGAGGCAAAGCGATTTTGATCGATCGGTAGTCGATTTCATAAGATCGTCGGGTGAAGTATTGTCGATGCATCTTCATTAACTTTCAAAAAGTTGCAAATGCAATTGCACCTCGTGTGAGTCCATCGATTTTATTATCAAACATTTGCATATCTCACTCGCATTGTCTACTTTGATTTCATAAGCTCGATAATATTGATAATTTTGCGCGTAAATTTATTTGTATATTGTTTGGGAGACAATGCGAATATCAAAAGCGAATCTTCAAACTAGTCGATAAATAATCAATATAATTCGATAAATGATAAATCGATAAATAATTATTTAATAAATGATCCAACCAAATTACCAAAAACATTACTTTAATCGAAATAATATCGGTTAAACGAGTTGCATAGGGTTCGATGGTTTCTCGGTGGAAATCGCTTACAACTGTTAGCCTTGCGCCTTATATCCTAAAAATGAAAAAAAATCACCTGCGAAACTCTTCATCTTATTATTGTATCACGATTTCTACGAGCATAGATTCGAATTACACCATTGCACGATATTGCGGATAGAAGCTGATTCTCATTTTCGAATCATCGATGTTTCTACCTAGATTAACCGTCGCTCTCTATATTCATCCCACGAACTGTATTTCTCGTATTATTGAAAAAACATATTTGCATTTTTCATTGCAGACTTGCAAAATTACTCGTAATTTCGAATATATTAAAGCCCTCCTTGGTATTATCAAGCTTGTAGTTATTTTTAATAAATTATTTAATATAGTAAATTATTATTATTTTTATTATTATTATTATTATTATTATTATACACACACGCGCGCGCGCACACACACACACACACACACATATATATATATATATATAGTCAATTATTATAATATGAGTTATGCTACCTAACAATACTTTTTCTCACTAGGGGTATAATCCTTATTTGAATATTGTCCATCAACATAATAATATTACTATTCTAATGGAATTTCTACTTCATGCTGTTACCAATTATATTTGCTTTTCGAAATGTAATATCATTTCGAGATTAATGGTATCCTATAAACTTTTTATTTAATCATGAGGTAGTTTTTAAAAATTTTAATTGTCGTTTATAATATTCGATAATTAAGTATGTTTACGCCAACGAGTTGTATGTGTGTGTGTGTGCGTGTGCGTGTGCGTGTGCGCGCGTGTGTGTGTGTGCATGTGTGGCTGTGGCTGTGTGTGTGTGTGTGTGTTTGTACTTGAAAGAGAAAGACAGAGAGAGAGAGAGAGAGAGAGAGAGAACAGAATGATTATGTTGAATATAATCTCTATATAAAGAAAATGATAAATGTAAGAGGTAAATCTAAAAATTGGATAGCCGTATCCATGATCACAGACAGATAAAAAGAATAATTATTTATTATATATATATATATATATATATAATAAATGATTTTTATTTATCTATTAAATAATGTTGAATTGTTTTATAATATATCCTACAATTTCTCAAATCCTTGCATTATATTTATTTGTAAGAATATATTTTTAATAGATGTATATAAACATTTTACTTACAAATATTTATATTGTATAGTATAATAAATCTTTATAGTATAAACTAATTCATAGTTTAAAGTATTCTGTGAGAGAAACTAAATTTTTTTGTAATAAATTTTATAAATTAATTGAATATATATATATATATATATATATATATATATAGAATGGAATATAATAGATTATAATATTGTTAAATTTTTTAAATATTTTAAAAAGAAATAAAATAATATATTTCCAAGGCATTTATTTAAGTTCTTATATTTATGCTATTTATTTAAATATTTACTTCAACATTTATATAAAAATTAACAAATATCGAGGAATTTTGTAAAATCAAATTTAAATTGTAAAATCTAAGTCGAACATTATAGTTACTTCTTCATTTTGATTTTGTACATTTTATATATTTGTATATTTTATATATTGTTGCATTAATAAGGGCCATCAAAAGCACAAAGTTCATTAGAATCTTTAGCAGTTCATGCACAAAAATGTTTCTTACTCTATGAGAACACAAATAGGGCATTTAAAAAGGTTTGTTCGTACCAATTGAAATTTCTAGAGAAGATGCATGAGCATTTTTCCTGTCAGTACTCGAACTCCTGCAGTAAGTTCCGATGCAAAAAGCATTGTAAACATGTTTACCACTACGGCATCTCGACATTTTCAGAACACGAAACAAACGCTAAGTCCTTGACTTTTTGCGGTACTCAATACACTAGGGTGTGCCCCTGTTTATTTTCTTTTGTTTTGTTAAAAAATTAAAATACATTATGATGTTTCTTCAACTTGCTTAAACATAAGAATAATTTCGTCGGATTAGCCTTTTTTGTCAAAAAAAAAAAACAAAAAAAAAAAACAAAAACAAAAAATATTAAAAATATAATGTATTTAATTTTTTTTTTAACAAAAAAAAAACAAAAACAAAAAATATTAAAAATATAATGTATTTAATTTTTTTTTTAATCGATTCTTCTATACAAGATCAATGCGAGATGCGTAGCGTAAGAAAAGTTCTTTGTGTTTGTAATATAATTGGTCTCATTTATACAAATATTGTATAATATTTTTATACTTATATTAGTAAAATCTATAAGGATGCAATGGAAATGTAATATTTTACATTAAAAATTTTTACACGAAACATAATTTTTTAAATCGATAAATAAAATTTTTTCGAATTTTTTCAAATGCTTTGTCGTGGTGTGCATATAATGTAGCTCTGAGTTCGCTCAGATTATAATCGATTTGAATATATTTATATGTTATATTTACTAGAAGCTTAGATAGAAATGGAAGATTCTAGATTAGATTTCCAATCGAGAAAATCTGTCTGCCTCGTTCTTATATAACGTGGGTAAATGTTGATCGAACATTTTTTTATTATTTATTGTAGTATCCAGTGTGAACACCAGAAAGAAAGGAATACACCCATCATGACACAAGTAGTCGAGAGACTGAATCACCAAGTAGCAACAAACAATTGCATTTACTGCAACTGAATTATATTTTCTACGAGTGGTGGGAACAAGTTTATCGATACAATATAAGAAGTTCTTCTTAAAATTGAGAAGAGTATCTTTCGCCTTAATTATGATTGTCATAATTTCTAGAGTCATCGATTCGATTATATCATTATATGCTATTATTTCCAATTATAATTAAAATTTTAACTACTTCCAATGAATAATTATATGTAATTATTTAATTTTTGTATTGCACTTTTTTCTTAAATATTTTTATTTCATAAATTGAATACTTTCAAGCAGTAAGTAATATAAATTCACTTTTATATTAAGAAAAATAGTTTGAAAAAGTAATGAAACCTTAAACTGAAGAAGATCGAAAAATATTGTTAAATACATTTTAATCGAATAACCGAAACACATTGGCAAAAAATAATTTGTACGATCAAAAAGAATTCTCCTAAAAATTTACTTTTATGTTTAAATTTAAATTTTAGTATCAGAAGAAGGAATATAAAACTTGTGTAAAAACTTATTGTTCAAATTTCTTATTAAAACCAATAATTGAATAAATATTAAAAATTATTTTAATTATCCTTCGAGTCAAACTAAGTGTACTGTTGTTAATTATTTTTAACGTAGTTTTCTTGGCAAAAATGTAAAAACAAAATATTGGAAAGTAATGTGAAATTGAACAAAATATTGAAAAGTGTGAGCAATATTGTATATTTGAAAATTTTTCTTTATTAACCAAAAATGCAAATATCTCATAAGTAACAACACAGTTTGCTTACCACACTACTTTATCTTAAGTTGAAATGGTTTACATACTTCTGAATTGCTTCTATAAATTTGATAAATAAGTAACTTTATCAGTATAACAAAATTTTCAGAAGTAGAGACAGATTTTATTTTTAGTAGTAACTCTTTAGACATCGTCACAACTACGTTGTGAAGATAGTTATAAATGAAAAATTAGTACCTTTTTTAATTCATTGGTAAAAAGTCGTAATGTGTAAAACAATGTAAAAACAAAAAAGAACCGAATAGTTTTCACGTTGATATAAGAGAAGAAATAAAATTAAAAATAAAAAAACTGTGTAGCACAATCATTATTTGATTTCCGCTACACTCTTTTTTGGAATCACTTCAATTTCTCTTCACTATTAAATGTCAGTGAAGAAAATAATTATATTACAATAGTAGAACAAGTTAGGTTAATAGTTAATATTAAATAGCTTAAAAATAACATTCAGTTTAATAAAAAAGTGAAATTAAATTTTAACGGATACTCAAAATGCAGGATATTCTTCTTAAGTTTTTTAATTTTAATTGCAATATTGATTCGACATTCATTTCTATTCTAGTGGTCCTATTGCATTAATCTTTCGAATATATCATTATGCACAAAAGTGCATAATTTAATGTAATAAACAATAATAATTAAGATTACTTTGAAATGAATTTAAAATAAACAATATTTTTTAATATTTGCAATTTTTACTAGATCTATCTTTATATAATAATTGATTGTCTCTTCCAGGAGATTCTAACACAATACTAACACAATCGAATCGATATTAAAGAACTTTAACATTAATACGACAGGTTAATTGATTTGGTTAAATATTTGCAAACCAATTTCTCTTTCAACGAATTATTTTTCAGTTTAGAACAGTATTTATTGAGTCCAAATAGTTTGAAGATTCGCTTTTGATATTCGCATTGTCTCCCAAACAATATACAAATAAATTTACGCGCAAAATTATCAATATTATCGAGCTTATGAAATCAAAGTAGACAATGCGAGTGAGATATGCAAATGTTTGATAATAAAATCGATGGACTCACACGAGGTGCAATTGCATTTGCAACTTTTTGAAAGTTAATGAAGATGCATCGACAATACTTCACCCGACGATCTTATGAAATCGACTACCGATCGATCAAAATCGCTTTGCCTCTGTTTTCTTGGAAAATAATCGCTAACCACTAAACCTTCTATTCATCGTCTTTGTAATGTCCAATAAGCTTCTTCACTTTTTACTCGGAGCTTAAAGCCAAAATCGATAATATAATCTACAAATCATTAGTATGTATATGTATGTGTACTCGTACAATACTTTTATAATTTCGCATTCATAGATTAATACATATAAGAACAATATATTTTGTAGTCCAATATATATATATATGACATAATCATATATCATGTATATAATCATATATTAATGAATATGTTTAGTTGATTTAATTTAGTATTGTACAGTGAATAAATATTGTTTATTTATCACTTGTCTAATATTTTTAACAATAGTATATTACGTAATATGGTTTTCTGCGGTTATAATTTTTTCATTTATGATCCAACATTAATTTTCATTGTTAGGTATAAAAATCCTATTATTTTTAACCATATTTCCAACTTGTTTATGAGCATTGAATATCGTCTAATCATAATAGTTAAACGTTGGTATATTACCAACTTGAAACTCGCGGAAATCGCCAATGTTGGATGAAGGATGCTCGATACTCTTCGAATAAAATATATTTAAATTATGGGTGTACTTACAAGCTGCCAAATCCTGAAGCTGATGGAACTCAGCTGGTGAGAGCTTGTCCCACTGAAGAGCCATCCTGGCTTCTTGTTGAGGATCTTCTAGTGGGGTGAACGGCTAGCTTTTCGTCACCTGCGCATAATAATAATAATGGTTCCCTTTTATTAAAATTGTTGTAACGGCCTGAGAATTCGGATAGAGCAATTTTGAAGATTAACAATGTATTCCCTTAAATCAATTTTATTCCAGATACTATTCAATTCATATTTAATTCGCATGTACGTTTACGCGTATGTTAGTGTTTATATTGAATTGACTCGAAATGTGATTGTCATTTTACATCTTAAAAATCTGATTGTGTGGATATAGTCTATTGTTTCAAGGTAAAACATAGTAAAATGCAAGAGAATGTAATAAAAAATATTTTTCTATAATTAATGTATATTAATACTAAAAGGATTAGTAACTGTATTCTTTTAAATTTAAATTAGTAAATATATTCTTAAGAATAGGACGTATAATTTCATATTGTATAATACAGTCATTTTTATGAATGCATAAATTTGAATACTCAATGTATTTGTTAATTATTGAGTAATACATATATGATACATATTATATGATAGAATATTAATATTATCCTAATGAAAAAAGGCCTTTCTGCGTCTAGAATTTACGTCCTGAGGAGCATATTGGGCCAAAAAGATGCAGATATTATACTTTATGTAACTCGAATAATGAATATTTTTGAAAAGTAGATGCTGTTTTTATTCACTGAGTATTAAAATGATTTGTATAGATTTTTATGGTTAATTTAAAAAACAAAAAAGTTACTATAAGACTAAGAGATTATTTTCATTTGTGCTACGTCGAATCATAATAGTTATAGTAAAAATTAAGTTAAACTTCAATTTTCCACGGAAACTTCATTTGCTGTTAAACTTCATTGGGTTGAACATTTTGTCAAGTGATTTTTTAATCTGCTTATTCGGTTGTACGTATATATTTTCTTACAGATAATACTGTCGACAATATTTATATTTGATGGAAAATTGTTTTTTACCTATGCGGATTTTCAAATATAAAAATCTAACGAAATCATCCAAGCTTAAATTCGAATAAGGTCAATAAATCGATTTGAAGCCTAACTTTAACAATTCGCACATTGTAATTTCAAAACGTTAGGGATAGCACATTGTTTGGATAAAATAAAGTATTTCGAACATCAATTTAAGTTATTTTCTTACGTCTTTTGACATTTTCTAATAATATTCCATTACGATAACTCGCTTTAATTTTATTTTCTCTTGTAAAAATAATTGCTTAAATATTCCAATAAGCCCTTAAGATTTAAATATGTAGCAAAGTATTGTCATTAAAAATAGCAAAATTCTTTTTCTTTGATATGCAATAATTATGTACTTATCGTCATATTGATTGCTCAAATGTCTTTTCATGTTTTTAATAAATTGGAATTGTCACTTACATTATACATATAGTTTTCGTATTTTTTTTTTCTTTATTGGCTTATTAAAGTTTAGTGTACGGAATACCAAACATTCACTTAAATTATTATTGTATAATCAGGAATATTGCAAATATTCTACCAACTTTCTTCTAAAATAAAAATTGATTACACGCACGCGCGCACACACGCACACACATATATATATATATATATATATATAATTAAAGTATTTCATGTATGTGATCTTTATGAAATTTAATTTTTTTATTTTCGTGTAAAATAATCTATACTTCAATGGTCTATTGCATATAAAAGAGATTTTATGCTCGTTAAAGTTTGATCTTAAATAGTTTCATAACATTGTTTAATCAAATGAATTATAATATTAATGTAAATTTATTGTTGGAGATTATATTTTTTCAGCATAATTTTTTTTTAAATTATGGCCTAAATTATAGAAAAATAACAGAGCCTTGTTCGTTAATTCTTTACCTTTCTTACTTGTCGGAAATTTATAGAGGATAATTGAAGCGACGTTAAATAATAAGTTGAAAGAGCTTTAATAAGATCGAATGGATTAATCTAAATTTTGAAACATATAACTACACGTCTTCATAATAAAAGTATGTATATGTCTTAATTTTCAATTTTAAGTTTGAGTTTTATACCACTTACAGAACTATAGAATTATTCAAGCTGTTATGCAATAAAACTACAAAGATAAATATAAAGTGAAACAATAAGAAAATTATTGAGTAATAAAAGAAATGTATCGTAGAGTGCCGATATGCTGTAATATGTTTGAAATACAGAATAGTTTATTTTCCAACATTTCATAAAATTGTCGAGAATATAATCCGATAGTAATATCGCGTGTAAGCATTATTCAAATATAATTATTAGTTTTTGGTCTTTTTACGACAAATGCAAAAGCATAAAAAATGAATTATACAAACATTTGCTGTTCACATAGCGACTGAATATTATGGTTGCGGCGTTCGTACATATGCGAGTTTCACGTGCTATTATCTAAACGAAATATTGTTTATATAATTATCGATTCGATACAATTTCAGGCGATTAAAAATATCACTTGGCATATAATTTATTTAAGGATGTGCGAACGAGTACCATCAATTCACGATATTGACAATTTGCTTTCGTTTAATAGAAAGTTGCAAATAATCAACATTTTATTAGGCTTAATTAGATAAACATCAAATGCACAGTTCTATCATATAATATAAAATAAACGTTAACTTGATTATTATTTAAGGCTAATGGACAAAACATCTAGGATATGATTCGTCAGTCGACTTTGTGCTATTCATGTATTATATGCTATAAAACTACTCCCGTTAAATTTGTATTCGAACGTTATGACTAGTAAACATACTAGTAATTTAATACCATCTGAAAAGGTTGCTTGTGTGGGTTGGAATCTTCTTTTGTAATGCAAAATCTTCTTGGCATGTTTCCTGTCACTATTTACAATATTAATTTTCGTAATACTGCAGTAGTCTTGTAATCCAATGACATAAGTATATTAATATTCTTTTAAAGGATAATATGAAGTCGGATGGGATGTCCTTTGGTTTTGGCCTATTATTAAAGAAAATTTTTTGCATACAGTGAAAATATCGTATAGTATTAGAAAAAGCCCATTAATAAGTAAAATTATTTTATTTTTTCTCTCTTTTGTGTTTTTTTAAATAAATTAATCTATTTCTTCTGATAAATGCTAATAAATAGTAGCGAATTTCAGTTAAATTGATCTGTTGTATTTATGTTATACCATTAACGCATAATTATTCCATATATGCGTTATTATATCTAATACGAACATTAAACTTTTATACCAAATAAATTTAGTTTGTTTTATAAAAAAAAAAAAAAAAAAAAAAACAAAAAAAAAAAATATTTTCAATTAGCAATATTCTTATATTATTATCAGATTTAAACGAATTAATTAATTAATGTCATGTTAAACTTGATAAGCCAAGTTTCACGATATGTTAAAACTCCAAGCCGTACTTAATGATATTGTGTTTCTCAAGCTAATTGCTGGAGATAAAGACCGATGCGCCAGACATTATGGAAAACCTCGAGATATGCACTATGTGGATTAATTAAATCGACGTCCTAGAAATAGACCATTGCGCCTTCTGAACCATATTCGCAGCTATTAATTTCGAGGTCTGCGATATTGCCGGCCTTGACGGTATGTATGGCAAACTGCTGATTGGGAATTCATGGTGACGTTTATGGCGTCGAGCCACGATTTACGTTGGATCTTGTGATCCTTCGTGCATTTGCACTTTGGTAACTATTTTCAGTTAATTATTGAGCCGGGAGTCGCAATTCGCCAGGATTGCGTTAAAGATGGAGACGATCGATCGAAGCGTACCATTGCAATAGAGCATGTAAAGTGAAACACTCGTTAGTTTGCTCTCTTACTTCAATTCATTTTCTTCACTGGAATATTTCACTCTTAGCCAAGTTCATGTTTTACTTGATATTTTCAACGTTATACTTCATTTTACATTCCACATTATAATCATTGGTGTGTGTGTGTTTCTAGGAAGATTTGTAATAGGGCTTTACCAACTATTTGAGGATAATTCAATGTTTAATGAACAAAATGAGAAAATTTTTTTAATATTACTTTTAAATGCCTATAAACGCAATAAAATATTTGATATTTGGAGTAATAATTTGGAGTTCTATGTATTTAGAATTGCCTGTATAATAATAATAATAATAATAATAATAATAATAATAATAATAGTGATGATGATGATGATGATGATAATAATTAAATAATAGCGATTGTAATAATTATTATATTATTTTACATTATATTGAAAATGAAAATAAAACAATATATATATATATATATAAGTAGAACTATGATTTATAATAACAGTTATTGAATTATAAATCTTTTAATAATGTCCAGGTTGATTTGCTTGTATAGCCACACCCTGAAAGCTGACTTGAGTACTGTGACCCTGAGAAAGAGGATAGACGGTACCTGAGAATACTTTCAATAGTGTTTTCATGTTACTTTAGTACTCGCGAGTTCACAGAGACTTATTTTTCCATATGCATAAACTATATATATGATGTTTGCATAATTTTAATTATTCGATATCGACCATTTTTCAACATAATACATTAATTATTTATAAAGAAAGCTTATACATCGTCTCCATTGTGAGAATTTATTTTAAAAAAGAATTTAGATGGAATCTACAATAAAATTAAGATATTGGTACAATACTTTAAATTTTTATTTTCAAACAATTATTTAAATACATTTAATTGAGAATATAATAGAGCGATAATAAATAGAACAATTCCGAGGATAGTAAATATTCTAAAAAAAAATTCGATGAAAGATAATTGTATTATTTTTATATATAAATATCAATCTAACTAATTACGGGAGTTTTATATTATATATCGAATTTAACGGCTGTGATATGATAAAAATAATATTATTGATTAAATTTATTAAAGTGAATTTGTTGAAATACTTTAATTTTTAGGCATTATTTTTATTTATGAAAGTATGTTTTTAATATCTTCACATAGAAAGGATAATATTTATTTTAATATTACATGGTACTTAAAAGCAATAAAAAAAGGTTCAAATTTGTTA